GAACCCAAACCACAGCGCTGCTTTGGCTGCTAAAAAGAAACCAGCTCTGTCGCAGCTCCACACCAGGACAAGAGTTGACATGGGTTGTCTTACCAGGACGTTATGGGAACGGGATGGATGCAGGGAATGAAGTGTGAGGGTTGTTATTGCCTTGAGGCTGGCATGATGCTTCTCATCCTCTAAGTAGTAGTCCCATCCCATCCCATCCCATCCCCTCCCATCCCGGCATGCTCCTGCCTTGGTACAACACTGCTCACCGTAGCCCTCACCTCCCTTGACATCAATCCATTGCTGACTCTGGTAGATTTGATGAGTTGGATCAAATGTTGCGTAGATATTCCAGCTTGTTTTGGTGCTCTCAGCGTGGTCATTGATGCAGGCTTGTGAGAACCTGCGATGCCACTGCTCAGGAATACAAATAATTGGAAGAAACCAGTAAAAAGTGGAACATTTCTTTTCAGCTGCCACATATGCCTCATATAAGTGAATGCCTGATGAAGAGAAGCTTGAAACCCACTGATCTCAGAGACATGACTATCGGGCAGCTACAAGTGATAGTCAATGATCTCCACTCACAGATAGAAAGTAAGTGATACTTGTTCCATTAGTCTTTGGTACATCCTGTTTAATTAAGAACAGTTCTGTGGGATCCACATAGAAATGTTGATAAATGTGTAATAACCTGGATTTATGGAAGATGTACACCACAGAACCTGGAGTTCTCTCCAGATTTAGCTCCTTCAGCTAAATCTTTCCTTTTCTTTCCTTTTTTTGGTTTCTCCTAAAGCTCTCCCTTGGCTCCATAAGAGAGAAGGGTTGTCACATTGTGCCAACACCTGACACCCAGTTTGTAACTCAAAACCTGGTCGAGTAAAAATAGTCTTGGGAAGTCTTGTCTGTCCTGGAAGCACCTGCCACGTATGGTTTTATGGCTACGTCTTCGTGTGACGCTATGCCATGCCATCAAATCCATCCATCAGTGGAGAAACCCTCACTTCGGCAAACATCCCGGGGTAAATCCACTCTTACAGCTCTTCAACCCATTTCGTGGGTCTTTGCCTTTGCCCACAGGGATGATGTCCCACCCCCTTGTCTGTCTTTGCCCTCTCCAAAAGATCCAGGGATTTTTTTTCCCCTGAGGGATCTCTATCCTAGGGGACCTACAAGAAAACTAGGGAGGGACTTTTTGTAAGGGCAGTTAATGATGGACAAGGGGTGATGGCTCTAAACTGGAAGAGGAGAGGTGGAGATGAGATGTGAGGAAGAAATTCTTTGGTGTGAGGGTGGTGAGACAGTGTCCCAGGTTGCCCAGAGAAGCTGTGGCTGCTCCTCCCTGGAAGTGTTGAAGGCCAGGTTGGATGAGGCTTTGAGCAACCTGGTCTAGTGGAAGGTGTCCCTGCTGATGGCAGGGGGGTTGGAACTGGGTGATTTTGAAGGTCCCTCCCAACCCAAACCAGGGATTCTGTGACCTTCCAATTAATTAATTAACAATTTAGGGAGTAGACTTCTCTAGTGGCTGTAGGTCAAAAAAAAACAAAAAACAAGGATGGTTGGGAGATCCTGTGCTGCTGCTTCTCGATTTGTGTTGGTTACTTGGTGTCCTGTCTGGAAGTAGCTCTGCTGAGGGTGAGGAGCTGCATTGTTGAGTGGGGATTTGTTATTTTGTGCTGTAAAGGCAAAGGAAAAAAAATGATTTGGCTCACTTGAGGTCTGGGAGCTTGAGTGTTACAGCATCATTGGTGCTGAGCTGAGCTGGCTCCCCAACTGAAGGGGCGTTAAACCAGTATAATGATATTTAACCAGTCTGAACACCAGTGTGTGATGGGCAGGTACAGCCTTCTGGGGAGTCCCTGCCAGCAGGGTAATTTTTCGTGTGGTCCTTTTTTGGTTTTCTTCTTCTTCCCCACTCTTTGACAAGGCCCAAGGATGGATGGATTCCATCCTCTGGAGATCATAGAATCATAGAATGGTTTGGGTTGGAAGGGACCTTCAAGCTCATCCAGTTCCACCCCCCCTGCCAGCAGCAGGGACACCTTCCACTAGACCAGGTTGCTCAAAGCCTCATCCAACCTGGCCTTCAACACTTCCAGGGAGGGGGCATCTACAACTTCCTTGGGCAACCTGTTCCAGTGTCTCACCACCCTCACAGTGAAGAACTTCTTCCTAATATCTCATCTAAACCTCTCCTCTTTCAGCTTAAACCCATTTCCCCTTGTTTTGTCATTAACTGCCCTTATGAAAAGTCCTTCCCCAGCTTTCTTGTAGCCCCTTCAGGTATTGGAAGGAGATGGGTGGATCCCATCCTCTGGAGATGGGTGGATTCCATCCTCTGGAGATGGATGGAGTCCCTCTTGCCACAGGGAATTCAAAAGCTGAACCTGAGGCTGCCCAGGTGAGGGGCTCGGCCACTTTCTGCAGCGTGGTTTTTTGCTCAGGGTTGTTGTCCACAAGTGAGCAAAAGCTGAACCAGCAGAGCTCCAAGCACTGAGAAATTCATCTTTATTTTTGCTGCTGCATTAAGCGATTTGAAGAGAGGAACCGCTCGTGCGTGGTGGGAAGGGGGTTATGGTTTATCCTAGAAAACGTGTCCCTCAGGGAGGTCCCTCCTGGTTCTCCACACCAGCCAACATCTATCATGGTGGGGATGGATGATGTCGAGGTCTCAACTCGGGGTTCACTGGGACATCACAAACTCACCCTCTTTCTCCCCGGCGCCAGGCTTGAACGAGGAGCTGGTACAGCTGCTGCTCATCCGGGACGAGCTGCACACGGAGCAGGACGCCATGCTGGTGGACATCGAGGACCTGACCAGGTGAAGGAGGCTCCTCAGGGTATTTCTCTCTCCTCTCAGGTCCCAGCTCACCATCAGCAGCATGTAGGGGTTTTGTTTTAGCTGAATCTCAATACTATTTTTCCATCAAAGGTAAGGGCTGAGCAGGATAACAGCTCCTCCAAAACAAGAAATCAAGGAACTCAGATTCTGGAGACTCTCAGCAGCTTCCAAGAGCTCCCCAAACACAGGGGGTGGTGCATCCTTTTGAACTGGTGTGTCCCTTTCCAAAGCCTGAAAAAAGTCTGGGAAGGAGTGATGGTTACCCAGAGAAGCTGTAGATGCCCCCTCCCTGGAAGTGTTGAAGGCCAGGTTGGATGAGGCTTTGAGCAACCTGGTCTAGTGGAAGGTGTCCCTGCTGATGGCAGGGGGGTTGGGACTGGGTGAGCTTGAAGGTCCCACCCAACCCAAACCAGTCTGGGATTCTATGATGCTGCAAACCCCCAGTGGCCCCAGCAAAGGGGATAGAAGGGACTCCCGACGTCCCCCACCCTGGACTGGGACTCTCTGATTTGGAGAGCTGGTGCCCCCTGCCACACACCAAAGCCCCCACCATCCTGACCAGCTTCCGAATGAATTGCATTTATTAAACTGCCAGCACTTGCACTAGGAAGCAAAGCGTTTCCTGAAGGACCAACAGATGTGAGGTGGCATTGGCATCTGCCTGCTGACCCAGCTCCACCCCAGCTCCAAAATCCCCCCCTTTCTTAGAATCCCAGAATCACCTCGATTGGAAAAGCCCTTTAAGTTCATAGAGTCCAACCATGAACCCAACACTGACCAGTCCCCGACTAACCCATGTCCCTCAGCACTATGTCTACACGACTCTTCAGTCCCTCCAGGGATGGGGACTCCACCACTGCCCTGGGCAACCCCTTCCAATGCCTCAGAACCCTTTCAGCAAAGAAATTCTTCCTCACATCCCATCTCAACTGCCCTGGCCACAACTGGAGCCCATTTCCTCTTGTCCTGTCCCTTGGTCCTTGGTTGAACAGACCCACCCCCACCTCTCTCCATCCTCCTCCAAGGGACTTGGACAGAGCCACAAGGTCTCCAACAGCTCAAAAACGTGTCCAGCCTTAACCTGCCACCCATCTAGTGGGCTTGCAGAGCCTGGGGACCACCTGGTCCTTGCTCAGGGGTGGCTGAACATCCCAGTCCCAACTCCTGGAGGTCTCTGAGGAACCATCCCTCTGGTCCCCTCTCGCTGGGAAGGACCCTGGTGGGCTGGTACCTCCCACCCCTCACCCGGTGCTTGTTTTTCCCTCAGGAAAATGTTATTTTGGGTTGGCTGGGTGGGAGCACAGCCCTTCCTGTGCTCTGGATGTCCCCTTCCCCTGGTCACAGCCAATAACTCAGCTTCTCCTCTCCCCCCCAGACACGCTGAAAGTCAGCAGAAGCACATGGCAGAGAAGATGCCAGCGAAGTGAAGTGCAGAGCAGCGGGAGCAGAGCTGGAGCGAGACGTCATTTTGCTTCTGTGTGTGTCCCACAGGAAAATACCAGTGTTAGTCATTGACCATGTCTGAAGCTTTATGTCTGGTGATTGGCCTCTGCTTCTTAATTTATTTTAATTTTTTTACTCGTGCCACTAAATATCCAGGCATTTTAATAATATTATTACAAAAAAAAATATTAAAAATTAAAAAAAAAATAAGAAATGTACAGTACTTATAACATTATAAATCATGGGTGAGAAGAGAAGGGTAGTTTTAACTTTATTTTTGTTTGTTTAGAGAGTTTTTTTGTTTTTCAGTTGAATGCTATTTTACCATCGACTACTGTTTTTTTATTCTTCCGTGTAGTTTTAAAATAAAGAGAAAAAAAAAACTGTACTTGAAGGTGCTATACAAGTCAAACAGAAAAAAAAAGGAGAATAAAAGACATGCCTGCCTCGTGGTGAAGTTGTAGCTCTCAGTAACCCGCCTCTTTTCATCAGTTTCTCAACATTTTGTGAATGTTGACTACCTGACGGTCATTTTTTTTTTTATTATTTTATTTTTTAAATGTGCTATTTTTCACATTTCGGTTGGATTCAGAGAGTTCCCTCGAAAGTTTTATGTACAAATATGTAAAATAAAAATTTAAAAAATTGTTTCCTATGATAACGTCTTTTTGTTGCCTAGTAGTTGATTTTGGTGATGCACTGGTAATATATTCCTCCAACTAAATGTGCAATTCCTTGTTTGCCATCACCAGAAAGAGCCTTTTTTAAAATTAATTAATTAATTTTATTTTTTGCCAATCACACAGAATGTTGGAGAGAAAACAGGATTTTTTTTTTAATAGACTTATTTATTTGTAAATTCATCATGTGTGTATGACATGGACTTAAAAAAGATTCTCTAATAACATTCACCAGGCCCTAATATTGTGATTATTGTTAAAATCAGCAGGCACATACCATAAATATTTTTTTTTAAATATATTTTATTGTCTGGGAGAAATATTTAAATGACTCACCAATGTCAGAAATAATAATAATTAATAAAAAAAAAATCTATGTTAAAAAAAAATCTAAGCAGCATATTAAATGTCTGATATATGGAAATTCCTCACCTCTCTGCCTTGGGGCTGGGCTCCCCGTTAGCAGGACACTGGGGGACTCGTGGATCTGTCTCCATCCCTCATTGATTTGATTTAAAGCTGAAGGAGCTGGGCCATCCCCTGCCCACCCCGGAGCCAGCAGCAGACACACGTGTGGTGCCCACCAGCTTTTCACCTTTTTCATTCTTCTGTCCTTCAGGGGAGTGAATTCATCTTAGCAAAGGGTCTGGCTAATGACTTATTCGGGGTGTTTTCACAAAAGCGTGAGCTGCATTAAAATTTCACCCCCTGCCAAGAAGGTATTTTATAAAATTATTTATTTTTCCCCTTTTTTTTTTGTATTTTGGGGTTTTTTTTTGCAGAAAGTGCAGGTTTTGGAAGCACCAACCCTCAGTGGGGTTTGATGGGGCTGGGAGAAGGGTGGAGTTGGTTTAATTTAAAGTTGTTTTCCTTTCCCAGGAGTTGCTCCAGGGGGTTTCCAGTGACCATGTCCCATGTCCCCAAGCAGGGAGCTGTGCCTGCCCTGGGTGACTTTTGCAGAGATGCTGGGATGGGTTAGGAATGATGTAAACTCCTCTTATTTTCCTTTTTTTTTTTTAATCTATGCAGAAAAAAGTATATATTGGGAGTGTTAGGTTCCCTGTAGCTCTTGGTTGGCTCGATGCTGTTGCTTGTGCATGGGGAGACCTGCTGGGTTTTATATTTCTGCTCCATAAAACCCATGTTTGTGGTGCTCTGAGACCAGACCCATCCCTGTGGTTGGGCAGCAGTGAGGAGGTGCCTGCTGCTGGGTTTAAAACATCAACAGCAAAAAAACACAAAAAAAGCCCCAAATCCAAAAAGTTTCCTCTCAGCTTTAATAATAATAATTAATAAATAAATAAAGCAAGAAAACCAATGGCTGCTCCCAGGGGAGTCTGTGCACTCTGCAGCCACCCCTGGCATCAACCCAGCATCATCCTGGCATTGTCCCAGCTTCATCTCAGCATTGTCCCAGCATCGTCCCAGCATCGTCCCAGCATCATCCCAGCAGTGTCATGACATCATCCCAGCATCATCCCAGAATTGTCCTGGCATCATCCCGGCATCATCCCAGGATCATCCCAACATCATTCCAGCATTGTCCCAACTTCATCTCAGCATCATCCCAGCATCAACCCAGCATTGTCCTGGCATCATTCCAGCATTGTTGTGGCATCGTCCCAGCATCAACCCAGCATCGTCCCAGCAGTGTCATGACATCATCCCAGCATCATCCTGGCATTGTCCTGGCATCATTCTGGCATCATCCTGGCATCATTCTGGCATCATCCCAGCATCATCCCAGCATTGTCCCCACCAGGGTCTGGCATGTGGGACACTGGGATGTAGCAACCTGGGCAGGCTGGAGTTTCGGTCCCTTGCTAAGTGCCTTGAACTTGCTGAAGAGAACTGGTGCACCGTGGTTATTCCGGTCACCCACCACTGGTTTCCCCCGTTACATCCTTAGGAGTTGGGGTTGTTTGGGTTTTGGGGTTTTTTTTAACAACAAACAGTGTTTCTGGGTCAGTGCATCTCCTCGGCTCTGTGTCCCGCGCACCGACGTGTCCTGCTGGTGTGTGTGGTGGCAATGCTGTGCAATCAATGGATTAAATGATGTTTTTAAACAGAGAACGGTGTCACCTGGTTTCTGAGCTGCTGGATCTTGTCACCTATTTTTTTTTCTACATATCAATCCCACTTTTTGAGTCTCCTCTATCCTCAACGGGGGATTTTTAGTTCCTCCTCCCCTTCTCCCCACCAAACATCAACCATCTCACACGAGATGCCAAACTTTGCAGCATTTTCCTTCTGCAGGCTGCCCTTAGCTCAGTGTGCACCATTGGAAAAGTACCTCCTGAGACTAGAAGGCACCAAAAATACCTGATGCTGTCAGCGAAAACACCTCCCCACCCCATGGGGCGATGGGGCTGGGGGTCCCCAAGCTCCCCGCACCGCCCAGCACCACCCACACTTGACTGTGGTTAATTCTAGATTTCCATGGGGAATCGCTGCTTCTCGCAGCCTGGGGGTTTTGGGAGCCTCATCCTTGGGGAGAATTTGAGGGGGTTTTGTTCTGCCTCACTTTTTTTTTT